AAAAAAAAAAATCTCTATTTATGCCACTTTAAACAAAACAAAACAAAACAGGGTCTTACTACGCAGCTGTGGGTGACCTTGAGCTTTCAGCCTCAGCCTCCGGCACCCTGGGATCCCAGGCTGTGCCACCACGCCCAGCTGCGCTGATGTCACGGGAAAGGGCTCCCTCCAAGGACTCTTAGGGCAACCAGTGAGAGCAATAGGCTGCAGCCTCTACAGCCACTGGATAAAATACTTATTAATTAAAAATAAATGTATCAACGACCTGGAAAGCTCAATGAGCATCCTCCCCAAAGCTACCTGATGGCATTTTTAAAAAAGGGGAAGACCAGAGACTTGGCCTTCAGTTAATCACATGACCCAGAGCCCAGACTGCTGATCCCTGGCCCCAGCCCGCTACGCAGCCGGAGCTACAAAAATAACTGAACTGCGTGCTCTGGCATGGGATTTCCCAGATGGAGCCCACGAGATGGGTCTTCACTGAGATCTGCCTTTTTTTGCCCCGAATCAGTGGTTCCGAAATGTAAGTGTGCACCGGCTCCTGCCGAGGGTGCTGCAGTACGAGCCCAGGCCCCCCAAGCTGCTGCTCTGGGGGTCGGTCCCAGGCTGGCCTTGGTGACTGGCCCAGAGGACGTGTTTCCAGCGAGAGCTGCCACTCTTACTAACTCTGCCTGCCTTTTTTTTTTGCCTTTCTTCAGGCTTTGTAGGAAAAAACAAAAACAAAAACATAATTCTTTGGGACAAAAAAAATTGTTGAATCACTTGCAGGCAGATGCAAGCCCACCTTAGTGTATCCTTTTAGAAAGGAGGAAGGAAAGGCATTCTTCACTTATGCAGCCTTTCCTGTGGAGAAGCGCCCCTCCCTGCGGGAGCTCCTGGACAGGAAGGGTGCCGGCAGAGGCCGCACAGAACCGCGTCACAGCACTAACGCCACCCCAGCCTTAGCTTTTTCATTAGCAGAATGGAGTTTTAAATTTGTGACCCTGGCATCCTGGTAACCCATAAACGTTAGATGTTTTCTTACAAAATGAAACCTATTGGGCTGGTAAGATGGCTCAGTGGTCTAAAGCACCTACTTAGAACAAGCTTAGCAAAGCACAGGGACCGCGGTTCAATCCCCCAGCACCACATGCCAGCCCGCCCGCCCCCTGGTGGGCTGAGCTGGCCACACACACACACACACACACACACACACACACAAATAAATAAATAATTTTAAAAAAACAAAATGAAACCTATTTATTAGTTTTTTGAGGCAGGGGCTCACTGTATAGTTTAAGCAGGACTTGAACTCAATGCGCAGCCCAGGTTGGCCCTGAACTCAGGAGGATCTGCTTGCCTCAGGCTTCTGAGTGCTGGGACTACAGGAATGTGCCCCCTTCCTGGCTGGAATCTTTTTTTTTTTTAAATGAGTATTTATTTATTTATTTTGTGGCTGGCTCAGCCCTCCCTGGGGGCAGCATATGGTGCCAGGGATTGAACTGTGCTCCCTGCAGTTGCCTAAGCAGATGCTTTAGACCACTGAGCCATCTTGCCAGTCCCCAGCTGGAGTCTCTTGTAACATACACACATCAGTTTGCGCATCTCGGCAGCGAGGTATGTATGAATGAGGTCACTAGCGTCGCCTGTCTCTCTGGAGACTTGGCTATTGCTAGGGTGTGTGTTTAGACAGGCCGTTGGGTTACAGTTTCCGGAATACTTTCAGTATTGCTGTTGATGTTGTTTATATTGGTGCAGAGGATTCAACCCAGGGCCTTTACACTGGGCTTTGCCTCTATTCCTTTTTTCATTTTTTATTTTGAGATAGGGTTTTTTAAAAATTGCCTGGGTTGGGCTTGAACTTGCAGTCTTCCCACTTAAAGAGTACTGGGATTACAGGAGTGCACGACTACACTTTTTTTGTGTGTGCTTTTTTAAAATTTTGAGATAGATCTCAGGGTCAGGGAGCTAGCTCAGTAGAATAAGCGCATGCCTGGCAAGTGCAAGATCCTGAGTTGAATCCCTGGTACCAGAAAAAGAAAAAGAAAAAAAAAAAAGATAAGATCTCACTAAATTTCCCACTCTGGCCTCAGATTTGTAATCCTTCTGCCTCAGCCTACCAAAGAGCTGGGATTATAGGTATGTGCTGTTGGGCTTATTTATTTATATTATTATTTTGTTCTGTTTTGGGGGGATGGGTATGTAGTTCACACTGGCCTTGAACTCACCATGTGGCCCATCTGCCGCAAACTCTCCTTCCCGGTGCCTCCACCTCCCAAGTGCTGAGTGCTGGGATTCTAGGTGTGCGCCACCACAGCCAGCTTGTTGGTGTTTTCAAAACAATACACATGCATCAAATTGCTCCCCAGAAAAGCAATGCAGATTTTCTTGAGAAAAAGAAAACTGCACAAAAAGAACCTTAAAAGTCCTATTAAAAAAAAAAAAAAAACAAACAAACAAACCTAAGGAATGGCCAAAATTAAACTATCGTGCTCCAGAACACATATTGGGCAGAAATTTTACTTGAGTAAGCTGGGACATTAAGCAAAATACAAACCTTTTCACTAGACAGTGCTGCGTCTTTGTTTAATAAACTCATGGGTGAGTTCTTTTTGTCAGGAAAGGCCTCCATCTCATCCTCCCCCTCAGTGGACTTCGAGGCTCTTAAGCAATGGGGCTGTTGGATGGCAGTCAGCTCACTGTGAAGAGTGAAACCAGACAGAGAGGGCTCAGCGCAGGCCAGGCGCGCATCCCCCACGGTACTTCTGGAAGCTGCTGGGGAAGTGCGGAGCCTCGGGCCGGAGCCGGGTGCTGCAGAGCGGAGCCTACAGGCGAACGCATACCTTTTGCAAGTGAGAATGGAAACGAAACCCATAGATCAGGGTGCAGGACAGGGTCTTCCCCTCCTCCACCATGTACCAAGGATGGGGCGGAGCTCAGGGGCACAGTGCTTGCTTACTTAGCACGTTCAAGGTCTTGGTTCAATCCAGGAACCAACAAAGTGAGACAGAGAGAGAGAGAGAGAGCCAGAAACAGAGACAGAACAACAGAGGTGGCAGACACCTGTGAAACATGAGGTCTGGGGTTTGCGAGGCTGGCGCTTGTTGATGGCTGTGTAAAGCCCTCTTGGGAAAGCGGCAGTGACTGCCAGAGGTACCGTGTCTCCGGGAGGCGGGAAGGGTGGGACCGTGGCTTCTCTTCCACGGGGGAACCTCCGCGTGCCCAGCAGAAGGGGCACAAGTGGATACACAGGCTGGGGATGTAGCTCAGTGGCAGAGCATCTGCCCGGCAAGTGGGAGGTCGTGGGAGGTCCTGAGTTCAATTCCTAGTCCCCCCTCAAAAAAAGTGGGTACATAACCTCTTTTAATCAAAGAAAAACACTGTTATCTTTTCCACTTAGTGGCGTATCTGTCACGCAACGCTCTGGCATGTGCCTCCACTGGTAGAACGGGCAGCCACTTCAGTAACTAAAGGCATGAGGGCAAAAGGCCTTTCTATGAGATGGTTCCACTGTGCAGTTCAGGCTGGCCTTGAGCTCCTCATACAGCGCAGGTTTTTAAAGATCTTTGGCTATCTCCAAGCATCAGGGCCCAAAGGCCTGTCTAGCAGTACTAAACAAGAACGTTCACATTTTAAGGGGAAACTTGCACTGGCTGGTTCTGAAAGTGTAGTGAGAAAGACAGTACACTAGATACATTTAAATTTAATACACAAAATAAATTCAGGTTTACATTTAGAATTGTCTCTGAAAGCCTTCAGCCGGGCCTGGTGGCGCACACCTATAATCCTAGCACTTGGGAGGCTGAGGCACGAGGCTTAAAAATTTTAGCCCTGCCTGGGAAATTTTTGGCATGACCATCTTAAAATTAAAAAAAAAAAAAATCTGGGGACGTAGCACACTGTGGAGGACTAGTGTTCACTCAGCACTGCAAAACACATATTTATACACATGACGAATGACAGTTAGTGATGACCAATTTTTTAAATGTCGCAGCAGACAGAATACCAATGTGAAGGTCCAAAGAACATTCCAAGCAATAGAAGCAGGAGAAACAAATTTCAGTCCTGCCTGTGAACGTCGGTGCCATGATGTAAAAAATGCTCTCAGCAAAGAAGTGCCACCCGCTCAAGGCTGAAGGGCTCTGCCTTATTGAAAAACAGGAGAGAGGGCTGAGGAGAGAGCGCAGCAGTGGGAGCACCTGCCTGGCAAGGCAAAGACCCAGCTTCGATCCTGGTACCACATGCCACGCTGGGACCCCAGGCATGTAGTGCTGGCCCTCGAACCTGGCCCGGTGCCGCACGCCTGTAATCCCAGCACTGGGGAGGCTGAGACAGGAGGATCGGTATGGGTCTGAGCCGCATAGCAAGACTCTACCAAATAAAGCTTAAAAATAAAATAAAAATAAAAATAGGAGACATTACAGTGCCACTCAAACACCAGACTCAGCAGTTCCAGTGGTAAGATGAGCTCGGGTGATTTGGCCCGTGCTACTATCTAATTCATTTTCTTCTCTAAGAAAACCAGTGGCTAGCACGGTGGTGCACACCATAATCCCAACATTCTGGAGGCTGAGGCAGGAGGGCTGCTAAGAGTTCAAGGCCAGCCTGGGCTCCATTGTAAGTTCAAGACTTTACAGCCATCAAGGAATGCAGAGCGAGACCCTGTCAAAAAAAAAAAAAAAAAAAAAAAAGGAGGAGAAGAAAAGAAGGCCATCCTCTGCGCACGCTCTCCACCAGATTCCAGCACAACCCCCTACGCCATCAAAGGTGCCGCTGCCTGCAGCTGGGTGAGGGGAACACAGTCCGTCCACACCCCACTTCTGTTTCCAGTCGCAGGGGCAGGAAGCTGCTCTGAGGCCCTGCACTTCTGGCCCAGCACAAGAGCTCCGGAGACTCGGAGACGCCCACGTTACCAACCTTGCTGAGGCATCAGAGTCTCCACCAGTGTTCCCGGAACAAGTGCATACACTTTTGTGGCGGACGATTCTCTGCATTTTGGGAGGCTTGAAAATGTTGATCCACTCTGCATCTGACATGTGGCCAGGGGCTTCGATGATGAAGTTACTCGGGTGGCAGCACGTGGAGTCACCCAGGTCACTGTCGTCCAGGCACTGCATTTCAGACCCTGCCAGGGGCTCGCCATCGTCCCCGTCCAGCTTTTCCGCTTGCCTGGGGGCAGCACAGCCGGCCAGGCCCGGGCAGCCAGCGCCGCCACCCCTCGGGGACTTTGTGTGGAGCTTGCAGGAGGTGACTTTGCTTTCAGGTTCAATGGAGACTTTTCCACCCAGAGGCCAAGATTTTTGTTTCTCTGTTAAGTCTTTGGTGAACAGAGATGAGAGAGTAATTACACTTTTTCCCCCAAACGTGGTACTAATCTGCAGCTTCTTCTTGCAAACATCACAGGAGCTCTTCTGTGACTGACTGTGCTGAGCCAACATGGCCTCGAAATTGTCCTTAAGTGGAGACTTCTCTCTCTTAATATCAACTTTTGGATGGATATTTTCAAGGTCCGATAAACACATGTCTCGGCTACAGTGGTATTACAAAAAAGTGGAAGTTATAAGACAGGCTTTATCCCCCACCCGAGCCTCAGCAGTAGAGCTGGCACTGTATGACCAGCATCATCCTGCTCCTCAGAGCCCAACTCTGGCCACCCTTCTCGGGGACACCCTTCTGACCCCCGCTGTGTTCCCTCTCCATTCCCTGCTATGTTCTTACTACCTAAGGGGGGCGGGGAGACAGAGAGAGCGAGAGAGATATCAAGAATTCTAGACAAATACGAGGAGGAAACATTTGAACATACTTTCTTCTAAGCTTCTGTTATTGTTGTTTTGTCTTTGGAGACAGAGTTTCGCTACGCAGTTCAGGCTGGCCTTGAACTCGCTTATGTAGCCCCAGCTGGCCTTAAACTTCCCTCCATCCTCCTGCCTCAGCCTCAAGAGTGCTTGGATAAGGGTTTCCAGGGGCATTTTTAATGTCACATGGAATTGGTTTCATTCTGCCCCTCAGGAGCACAGCTCCTGCCTCCCATAGTGACATAAACCATGATGTTCTCAAGGTGTAAAGCCCAACTTGTCTAGTACTTGCCACCACAACAAAGTTCAAAGTGGAAAAAGGGCCAACGTGTTGGGCGCCTTGCCTGAGAGAATCCTAAGTGGGCCTGGTGCTACTGGGGCAGCCGCAGCAGCAGCGGGACAGAGAGCAGCAGGGTGACAGAAGCGGAGTCCACCAGTGCCCTCTCCCTCAAATGCTGGCTCCGGCGTGCAACCCCACTCTCGGGGAGAGGAGTGCGGGTGGGCAGTGTGGACCCAGCCGGGACCTGGTAGTCTCACCAGGGCTGGGCGCTCCCCCACCTTGATGCCTTTTCCTGGCTCCTCGTGATGTTTTTGCTTGGAAACACAGAATAAATGTTCTGTGGTGCAGTTACATTCCTGTTTGATCGAACTGTATGGAAACTTGCTTAATTCCCGCACTCCTGTTTCTGTCAGGGAAGATATCCACTACCAAGCAGGCAAACAGAGTTGGGCACAGGGGTGCACGCCTGGATGCCCGCACTCTGGGAAGCTGAGGCAGGAGGACTGCAAGGTCAAACACAGCTGCAACTACTTAGCAATGTGGTGAGAACCTGCCTCGAACCTAATGCACAACTAAGTGGTGGGCAACAAGGGCCAGGACCCAGCTCAGCAGAGGCTCGGAGTGTAGGACCCAGCTCAGCAGAGGCTCGGAGTGTAGGACCCAGCTCAGCAAAGGCTCGGAGTGTAGGACCCAGCTCAGCAGAGGCTCGGAGTGTAGGACCCAGCTCAGCAAAGGCTCGGAGTGTAGGACCCAGCTCAGCAAAGGCTCGAGTGTCATCCCTGGTGGAGGGGCAGGTGTTTCGAGGACAAGGGAAACAGGAAACTCAGGCTAAGGGCAGAGGTCACCTCAGAGCTGAGTGCCTGCTGCAGCGGTTCACTGGCGCTGGGCTTCGGGAGTGTTTCTCTCAGGCAGATGCCTGCTCCTCTCCGTGCTCCCTAGCGCTAGCCTCGCGCCTAAACACTGTGTATGTGGGCACAACGGAGGGAGGAGGCCTGGCTCGTCTCTAGTTTCTACGCTAGCTCAGGCCTCCTACCCAACATGCACACACACACACACACACACACACAACACACACACATGCACACACACACACCAGGTCTAATGATTTTACTCTATATCAAGTGGCTAAATTAGTGTCATACCTAAAATTCTCAGAACAGGTCTTTCCACTGGCGAGGACTGTAATAATTGAGCTTACATGTACTCCCTGCCATACAGGAGGAACCACAGTGTCCCTGGCCTACGGTGCCCACAGAGTAGATACTGATCTAATGATGGAATCAAACACGAGATCACATTCATATCGCCTGCTCAGATTACCTGGATTCCAGGCCCTTCGAGTCTTCCATCTTCGAGTCACATATCTGTATAAATTGCTGAGAATTTTCCACATTGAAATTAAGAAACTGCAGGTCACTCTGTTGTTTTACATAAATCTGCCGCAGACATTGATAAATCAATACAAAGCAGAATAACATACTACACTGAACCACAACTTGGCGCTTTTAAAACTAAAACAGTTCAAGCAGCTGCTACACAAAAGCTAGATACGCTGGTACTGAGATTCGTTGGTGCAGCTGATCTCCTAACCTTTAATTATCAGGCGAGATCCTCCCTGTTCTGCTAATGTCATGTCTAATGAAGGTAGGACTGCAGAGGCACCCTAAACCGGATCAACAGGCGTGTGACTTCCTTGTTTGTTCCCAAACATTTCCTGCTGTTGCAGGAGGATAGCTGGGGACATACCTGCCTCAGGTTGTGAAGTTCCGAATTTGTACGTTCTTGCTTTGACTTGGCAATGTCCAAAAGCTCATCTTTCCTCTTTTCTCTCTCTACTGTTTAAGAACAAAAAGTATTTAACAGTTTGTATCAGCCGCCTCCGTATAAGCCTCTCCACTAGGAACAATTTAGCCGCTAACACTGTTTTTGTTGTTCTTGAACATAAAATTGCAGCGTGGCTGATAAGGAAGTTTCCATTTATGAATCTGTCCAGACCCTTCATGTGTGGGGAAGGCCCACAGGGTAATTAATGCTGGGTCAAAAAATGCATTTAAAAAAAAAAATAAAAGAGCCTGGGGATGTAGTTCAACACAAAGGCCCTGGGTTTGATCCACAGTACTGCCAAAAAAAAAAAAAAAAAAAGTATGTTTGTAGGTAATCATGCTCAGAAGAGCCTGTAAACAAGTAGGCTGAAGTTTTCAGAAGTTATTTTTAGGGCTGCGTACAGCTTCTCCGAGCAAGCAGAGGCCAGCATACAGGAGCAGGCAAGCCCAGCAGCAGCCCCGGCCGCACCGCAAGAACCTGCCCACAGGAGCGAATCCGGGGCCCGGCATAGTACTCAGTGGCACAGCGCCTGCCTGGCAGGTGCAAGGTCCTGAGTGTGATTCCTGGCCCCAAAACAAAGCAACAAAAAAGAAATTTGCCAAAGGAAAGCATTTTGGGACTGTACCACTGCAGACATTAACGCTCTGTCTAAGGAGAAGTCGTTTGACTCGCATTGTGCCCAGCAGAGATACTTGTCTTGAGTGTGGTGTGACCCACACGCAGAGAAGCCAACAAGTTATTTATTTATTTTTTGGTACTGAGGAATGAACCCAGGGCCTTCACACTTAGTCACATTTCCAGTCCGTGCTCCTCTTTTCTCATGTCTTTTAAAGACAGGGTCTCAATGCATAGTTCAGGCTGAACATGAACTCACTGTGTAGCCAGCCATCTCACCAGCCTCAAACTCCCAGAATCCTCCTGCCTCAGCCTCCCAAGTACTGGGGTCACAGATGTGTGCCACCAGGTCTGGCTCATGCTCTTCTTTTTTCCATTTTGAGCTGGGGTCTCACTATGCCACTGTGCTCAGGCTGGGCTTAAACTTGTGATCGTCCTACCTCAGCTTTCCGGAATGCTGGGGCTGCAGGTATGCACAGCTACACCCTGCCAAGCCACCAATTTTGGGGGGATCTGAAATAGATTTGAATTTTGCCTTAATGTCTGATTTTAGGATACAGTTGCATAAGGCGACTCCTCTGTGTATGCTGCCGCTCCTGTAGTTCAGTGATGTTCTCCACGGGCGCATAGCTGAGGGTGCAATCTGCCATGTGCCTGGCTGAGCCCCGAGAACACGCAGCACAGAGCCCCGTGGAAAGGACACCAGAGTCGGAGTCTGGTGGGGCGTCTGCCTTTTAATGGCGGAGAGCCTGGGCCAAGACCTCAACGGAAGCAGCCCTCATTATAGGGCTGCCCGGTCCACAGAGAGCCCTCCCTGCGCACCCTCCTCAGTAGCACCGGGGAGCCGCGCCTGCGTGAAGAGCTTCATCTTCAGCAAGAGAAAAAAGTTTTGAATTTAAAAATAAAACAGCCGGGTGTAGCCGTATACCCCTGTAATCCTTGCATTCAGGAGGCTGAAGCAGGAGGATCGCTGCAAGTTCAAGACCAGCCTGTGCTACAAAGTGAGCTCAAGGTCAGCCTGAACTGCATTGTGAGACCAGCTTCAAAAAGACCAAAAAAAAAAAAAGAAAAAGAAAAAAGAAAAGTAAAGTAAAATTTCAAGACATCTAAACTGTATCCCCTTTCAGCCATTATTACTAATGCAATATCATGTGGAAGTCTTTTTTTTTTTTTTAATTTACTCTTTTTTAAAAACTTATTTACGTGTGTGGGGGGGCAGCTCAGTCCACCAGGGGGCGGGGCTGGCTGGCATGTGGTGCTGGGGACTGAACCGCGGTTCCTGTGCTTTGCTAAGCTTGTTCTAAGTAGGTGCTTTAGACCACTGAGCCATCTCACCAGCTCTATGTGGAAATCTTTTCATTCTGTTTTTACTTAATTCCCTCATAACTAAAAATGCACAGCCGGGCTCAGCTGCGCAGGCCTGGAATTCCCGCCCTTGGGAGGCTGAGCGAGGCGGGCGAGGAGCTCGAGCCACCTCCAGCTCTGCACGGAGCTCCGCCCGCTGGGCCTGCAGAGTGAGAGCCCGTCTGAAAAGCCAAACAAAAATCAACTTAGGAAATGCCTCTCAAAACCATTCTGCCTCGTTACACACAGTAGGGTGCGTGAGCTTAGAGAGCAGGAGCAGGTGGGGTGCGCCTGTTCTGGCTCCCCGGAGGCATCGCAAGCAAGATGTCCTCTCAGACAATAAGAAATGAAACGCTCTGCGCCGCTGAGTGTCTCAGCCTTAGACGACGCACAAAGGGCGATGCCAAGTCCGGACTCATCCTTAGAGCTACGGACGCGGCATCATCGGAGGGGCAGGTTTAGCAGCCAGCCTCGCCGCGTACTGGCGCCCCGCGGCCCAAGCAGCGGTGGAACACTGACCTCTAGTGGGAGACACTGCGCTTCTTTCCCAGTCTGCAGAGGCGGCAAACTGAATGGCTTTGCATTTGAAAAGTCTTGAATGTAATACTGTTTCCCCTTTATTTTAGGGAACTTAGTCTCGTCTTAGAAGGAAGAGCCTTTAGTATAGCTTTAAGTTCTGAACCTGGTTCCTCACCAATCTCTCAAAGAGAGGTTTAAAAAAACACACGTATTTTCATTTTTTCTTTTTCTTTTTCTTTTTCTTTTTTCTTTTTTTTTTTTTTAAGGGAAGGGTCTCAGGGTGTTCAGGGTCTCGCTGCTAGATCGGACTCCTAGTGATCCGCCTGTTTACAGCCTCCCAAATGCTGGATTACAGGTGTGCGCCACCACACCCAGCGTACCCCGGGGTGTGCTCTCAGCGCACCCCGTAGGAGGGGCTGGCATGGCAGGCCTGGGAATCGAACCCCTGGAACCTGCGCCTGCTTGCAGGCGCTTTCATCTGCTGAGCTATTTGGCCGCTCCCCCCTTTGTTAACACATGTATTTGCAGAGGTGCATTTTCTTTCACCCTTCACCGAGTGTCAGGGGAGACTGAGGTTACAAACATCAATATCAGTCACTTAAGCTAATTATTTTTACCGGTGAAGATCAATTCATCGTGCAGGCAGCTCTTCTCTTGCTTGAGGCGAATGATCTCTTCTCGCTGCTCATTGTTTTCCGTTGTCTTTTCGTTTAGGTCCTCTTCACCGACAGGGGGAGAAAAGCCTCGGGTAAGTACTGGTTTCCCTAAAGGACCCAGGGTGGCTGGCACCGCGGCCCTGGCGCTGGCTGGCCCTGGCCTGCCTTTCCCATTGAGGCACGGGGACGCGGGGGTGCTTAAGAAGAGCTTGTGCAGCGCTCAGGGTTGGTGTTGTAGGCCTGAAATCTCAGCACTAGGGGAAGCTGAGGCAGGAGGATCACAAGTTTGGGCCTGCCTTGTCTCAATATTCAAAATAAAGGAAAGGGCTGGGAACAGAGCTCAGTATGACACTGTGTGTACAGATGTAAGACTAAAATGGTAGCTCACCGTCCAGCTGTCTACTCTGCCCCTCACAGAAATGCAGGAAAAGCGGGCCCACCTCCACCCTTCGGAGGTAAGCGCCTGGGCCACCACCTACTCGTGTTCACGTTTGAATAGACAGCACCCAGGCACTTGGCAGACCTGGCTTTCGTCTCGCTACAAAGCTTCAAGAACTACGTTAGCAGAAAGGAGTGGATCATGGCATTACTGTGAGGACGAAAATGGAAAAGAACCCAAAGGCAACTGGCAGACATGAAACACGCCCCTGAAGAAGACCCCGGCGGCAGCAGCGGTGGCAGGTCCTCCTTCCTCCTTCTGCAAGTCCTACCACAAGCTCGACGCACAGAACCCTCCCCCACCACATTTGTGCTTGGATTCAGCTGCGCGGCCAACTTCAGCTGGCAGGAGACAGGTGGCAGTGTGTCAGGTCCAGCAGCCTTCTGGTTTCTGAAACAGGGTCTCACTATGCAGCCTGGATAAGCAGCAGCCTTCCCCCTCAGTCTCCCCGAGTGCTGGGATCACAGACACGTGCCACTGTGCCTGGCGATGATTTTACAAATATGCCGCACCATGCAGTGGGCCCCACCTCAGTTATTTATCATAGAACACCAAAACTGCAGCTTAATTCTATATAAATGAAACACACATTTGCTGCTAGGAATAGACATACTCTCAAGCATAAGATTAAGTGAATACAAATAAAGAAATACATTTCCAAGGTAGCATATTCTTGTTTCTTCGCTTTTGCTTTTGGAGACAGGGTCTTGCTGTGTGTCCCAGGCTGACCCTGAGTTTGTAATCCTCGCTTCAGCCTCCTGAGTGCACTGTATTACCCTTTAAACTTACGCCTCTTCCTTACCTTTCAGTTTATTGACTTCGATCTTGAGTGCCTTCAGCTTCTGCTTATAATCTTGCTTTTCCTTCACGATAGAAGTCTCCACCATCTTAGCATCACGCAAGGCATGCTCCAACAATTTAAATTTACCCGAACAATCTGCGATGTGATTGACTGCCTCAATAATATCTTTGTCCTAAAAACCAAATTTGAAAATGGTGATGTTCAATTTCAAAGTTCCAACTAATCACGCCATTACACTTACCGAGACCTTGTCGTGTCCCGAGTTTCCTTGTGAGAACTGCTCACACTAACTCATTTCATCCGTTGTCACGTGGCGATGCGCGAGCCACAGTCCTTGCGAGTGACAAGTCACCAGACACAGCAAGTTGCTAAGTCACCCACAGCCACACAACCAGCGGGTGTCAGAGCCACCACTGGAGCCCAGCTGGCCAGCCTCAGAATCCACTGTGCTGTCACTGTCCCTTCACTGCATCCTGGAGGATTAGATTTGATTACCTAGGAAACAGGCATAGCAAGAAGGCTGGCGGCCCTGGCCCAGGGAGATCACTCTCTGGATGACAGAGGAATTCCCTGGGCCCACTGCGTTCTCCTTTCTTGCAGCCTAAGTGGCAGGCTCCAAGACCTCATCTCAATCCGAGCCAAAGTAGAATCTCTATTGTGAAGGTTGTTTGAACTACCAAAAGAGCTGGTTGCTGAAAAGCAAGTTAAAATAATATCTACAGTTCTAAAAAGATGTTGGGCGAGGGGGCTCTTGCTTATAATCTCAGTAGTCAGGGAGCTAAGGCGGAGGGGTTGCCTCAAGTTCGAGGCCAGCCTGGGCTACGCAGTGAGTTCATGGGCAGCCTCACTATGTGTACCTCCACTACGTGAGCCTGTCTCAAACCACCCCCCACTCACATGGGATCACCACTGTTAACACGTCTCTCCCCGTAGCACGCTCCTACTGCCGCATCGTGGATGTGCTCTGGAAACCGAAAGTCGGCCAGCTCGTGCTAGAGGGACTTCTGGGGACAACCACGTGGGGTTGTTCAAAACCAACAGACCTGTGCGAGGGGGCCACCAGCAACACACAAGCACAGGTAAGTGCAGGCCATGGACACACGTGGCTGTCACCCTATCCATGACAGCCCCACTTGCTCCTCTGCTAAGAATGTCCCAGAGGGCATCGGCTTCCACCAGAGGCCACGTTCACCTAAACACAACGTAATTCTGGGCAAGAAGCTTTCCACCAATCGATTGTCTGAATACGGGCAAAGCGCCCGCACAGCATCTTCGTTGGGATGCACTGCACGGCAATGGCCGCTGCCACGGGCAGCAGGGAAGCTGCCGCCGCCGCTGAAGTGGCCGCTGTGTGACCACAGCCAGTTCTGTAGATCTTAATATTTTTCTCTTTTAATTTAAGAGAGCTTTCCTACGACCACCTCAAAACCTTAGCATGCTGGGGAAAATCGCATAAGCTTTCTGTGACACTAACACCAGCCCCCATCTACCAGCTGTCAGACACCCGCCTTATGGCAGGGGGACCCCCGTGCACCCCCGTGCACTGGTGCTGGGGGCTGCGTCACTGCTTGCTCGCTAACAATTCTTCACCCCGTTTAGTGAAAACAGTCAACAAGCAACATGACTGCAGCAAGGTCCTGAGGCTGCGCAGTGGTTCCGGCCACGGGGCAGGCCTTGGAGGCAGAAGCCGCCAGTGGGTCCTGCTTCCCCGCTCAAAGCTTTGCGGACCACATTTGCCTTGGTTCTAATTCCTTTTAAAACTTTTTTTTTTTTTTTTTTGGTGCGGAACCGGGGATCGAACCCAGACCCCTGAGCTTGCCAGGGAAGGGCTTATTCTACTGAGCTACCTCCCCCGCCCCCCTTGTTTCTAATTCCTAAAGCGATCGTTTGACGACAGCAACGTGGGCAGCTCCGAATTTCCGGGCTGCTAAAGCTCTGAGGCGGGATGTCGTGCGCTCGGGAGCGACCAGGGCAGCGAGTGGGGGCGCGACTCCGTGTAATTACCTTTAGCTTTATCATTGTCGTGAGAGCCTGTTCTCTAGCTTGTAACTGTCCCACCTGAGCAGAAAGTTCCACTAAGGTGCTGCTGAGGTTCTCGTTCCTGGCCTACAAGGGTACGACACAGAAAACACGCGCTGAGTCCTTCCAGAAGCTTGTGCACTGTCACCAGCCACGTCTGTGCTCACTTCTCTGTTTATTTTTATTTAACTTCTTAAAGGATTAATGTGGCTAAGAAGCCATCAGAAATCAAAACAAACGCCTATTTCTGCATGAGCTCTAGCCTCTCAATCCTGGCTACTGAATTATACTGGTTCTATCTGCGAATATGTCCATTCCCTAATATTTTGATGTGTAATGTTAGGTTGCATATTTGTAACCACATAATTTTAGGTTGCTACATATAATTTATAATATATAATTATGTATAATTTTAGGAGAAAATGAGTGAATCCAAAATGGGTATTAAGAGATTTCCTTCCATGAAATAAAGTAGTATTAATGAATTCTGTGTATCTTTGTAAATTCTGCAGAAGGCCAGGCGAGGTGACCTGTAATCCCAGCACTCAGGAGGCTGAGGCAGGAGGGTCACTGTGAGTTCAAGACCAGCCTGAGCTACCAAGTGAGCTCAAAGCCAGATTGAACTGAGTATCGAAACTCTGCCTCAAAAAGAAAAGAAAAGAAAACAAAAACACCTCTGCTGAAAGAAGACTTCACGCTGGGGTGTGGACCCTGCCTGGCCCCCAGCAGAGTCCTACACAAGGTGGGCCTCTAACTCCCTAGTGCTGCACCCCTGTAGGTTCAGCAGCTCTGATACACGCACCGCAGCATGGATGTTGGCACGCGGAGGCTGTGTGAGGGACAGCAGGCACTGCGGGAACACCCTGTACTGCCCACTCAACCGGCTATGAACCTAAAACCGCTCTAAAAGCACTTCACTAATCAAAAAGATGCCTCCTTCTGCCATTTGACCTATCAATAGATTTTACAATAGTTTATTTTTATTGTTATTATTATTTTATTTTATTTTTGATTTTTGGCAGAACCGGGGATTGAACTCAAGCCCTTGCACTTGCCAGGGAAATGCTTATTCTACTGAGCCATCTCTCCGGCCCTTTAGTTTATTACTTTTAAACCTGGAAACCATCTAGACTACTACTCTAGAAAAGGGACATAACATAAGCTCTATTCTCTTACGATGGATTATTAAAACTCATTATATGGACCGGCCAAATAGCTCAGCGGATTAAAGCACCTGCAAGCAGCTGCACAGGCTGGGGGTTCAATCCCTGGGCCTGCCATGGCAGCCCCATCCCTGGGCACACTGAGACAGCAATTGAGACTGGGCGTGGTGGCACATGCCTGTAATCCCAGCTCTTGGGAGGCAGTAAATAGG